AAATGTTTACTTTATGGAATGCATTTCAGTCTTAATCCTTTGGAACAGTGAAAATTATAAAAAAAACCACCAACCTCATTTCCAGGTTTCAGGGCACATGTGTATAATTACTAATGAAAAAAGTAATTTTCTATCTTTCCTAAGAAAGATGACTAATTAGGAGGAGGTATGATGGGATGATACCATTTCCATATAAACAGTGGGAAATGAATAAATATAAGCATTACAATCTTAAAAAAATAGTGAAAAGTAATTGGCCTCACCTTCTCGCTCCCCTGCCTCCAGCTCTTTTAGGGAATTAACAGAATATTCCCAAGCTTTGAAATGGGATTTTTATTGTTTGCTCTGAACTACTTGTCACTGAGCTTAATACACTTACATCTACTTACTTCTGATGCTTCAGGAATATCTACATGTTACAAATAGCCTTCCATATCAAAACAAAACAGTCCTATTGCAAACATAAGAAATGTTAAGAAGAGATTTAGTCTAGCATGCCAGATATGAAAGGGTTTATTTATTGTTTTCTTCAAGCATTCACTTGTACAATTTCCTCCAATACGCCAATAGGCACATAGATTTATTTTTACAAGAAAAATCAGGTGGTGGGGATATTTTAATCTGCCATTTTTCTTATCTCAGATAGCCTCTGCTTCTTCGTTCCTCCCAGTGAATCATGTGTCTTGAGTATCTTGTTTACCTGTCTTTTCTCACACCCTCAGTTTTATGTACTCTCTAACTACACACCTAACAGTCTCTCTTTGTGTTTGGCCATCTGCATATGATTTTGAAGTAGTAATTGTGGAGAAGACCCGGGACAATTTCCCATCTGTTTTTATGTTCAGCTATAAGTAAATAGCTTTTTCACAAATGAAGGCAGATATACTTGTCCCAGGTATATAACATCAAATCTGGTTACCAGGACCAGAAGTTTAGCCTTCTGAGTTTTCGGATTCGTGCTGGAGCCCTTCCTTGAGGAATTGAGAAAAAGAATAGTTCCTTAGAATTAATGAATTGATTCTGTACAACATGTTTTTGTATTTATTCAAATTTCTTCCTTTTGGGGGGTTGAAGGGAAATATTTCATCTGTAGGATTGCGTAGGAGGGAATTCTGATAGTCAAAGTCCCAATATATGTAGAGGTCACTCATATGGAGAAACTGATGTATGACAGTTTAACTAGTAGTAATTATTGTAAATAAGAATTATGTATGAGAGTTCAAGTATCTCCACTACAAATTGTCTACAAGATCTCACAGAAAAAGAAGAAATTAAAAATGATTATTAATGAATTATAGACACTAAAATTATTTAAAAAGCAATAGGTGAAGAGCACTTAAATCAATTCTTAGTTAAAATTGGCAGATAAAAATAGTTTCTGTTATTTATCAGTACAGTCGTAAGTCAAGTCATCACATGACCAGACCCAGTTTTACAGCCATTTTTTCTGTGGGTCATTAAGCAAATCATTGCCGTTAGTAAGCAAATTGTAGTCAGTAAGCAAATCCAGTTTCCCCATTTGATGTTTTCCCCCATCTGGAAAGGTTCTAAATTGTGATCACATGACTGCAGAACATTGCAGCTGGAAGCCCGTTGCCAAGCACCCAAATTGCAATCTTGTGCATATGCAGGTGGTATGACAGAATTGTGAAGACAGGTTGTATATCACTTTTTCTGAAGTCATTGTAACCTTGAACCATTATTAAGCAGATGGTCATAAGTGAAGGACTTACCCATATATGAACTGCCATTTCATTTCGTCTATTTAGATGCCTGAATACCAACATATTAAATCTTTAAAAGGTTAAAAAATAACAGCCTGTTAAATTTTTAATATAAATAAAATAGTTGAAAGATTTCCAACCATAAAAATTTGATCAGCACATTTAGTTTCTGCCAATCGACTTGATAATTGCAGTTTGCACCTAATTATTTTTCTAAGTATATTTCAAAGTAAGATGCATTTCTAACATGAGGCCAGATCATGTCAGTCTGCCGTAGTCTAGACTCTGCTCTAAGCTGTGTTGATAACAGAACAGAATAACAGAAGGGAAGGATCTTGAAGGTCTTCAAGTCCAGTGGTCACCAACTGGTGGTCCATGGATCACTGCTGGTTCGCGAGAAAATTTCTGCAGAAAAATTATTGTATTTTTTATATTGCACTAAATTAGGGGTCCTCAAACTATGTCCCCTGGGATGGTTACGTGCAATGAACATTTGTGTTGCTGCAGAGAGTCTCGCTCTTTGGGATCTTTTTATGTGGGTCCGAGGGGGGCAGAAATTCTGACTTGGGGTCTGCTTTGGCCTCCTAGTGTGGGGCTTTGGGCGAAGGCTGGAGGGTAGTGCTGCTCAATGTTCCCTCTAATTTTTTTTCAGGGTGAGCGGAAAAGTATAGTGTTTGAGCAGCACAGTTTCATGCCTGAGCACCTAAGAGAACAACAGTTTGAACTTCTGTCTCGTCTGCTGGACATTTGCGCAACATTCCAAGCGCCAAGCACCAATTGTGAGCGAGGTTTCAGCCTGATGAATGCCAGGCATGAAAATGTGCTACTCAAACACTATACTTTTCCGCTCACCCTGAAAAAAAAAAGACTTCTGCTCAGCTTTTAGCTTGTTAGACTGGCTAGAGAGAGACATGGCTCCAACAGCCTGGGTCCTGGCATTTTGCAGGCAACCTGTCCTCTCACATTCCTTTGGAATGCAACCAGAGGTGGGTTCCTACCAGTTCGCACCTATTCGGTAGAACCGGTTCGTCAAATCTACCGAACCGGTTA